AGCTCGCCTGGTGCTTAGCTCGCTCGCTCAGGAACGTCGGCATATCTGAACAGACCACGTAAAATCTGGGGCAGGTCGCCGTTTAACTAAGCTTTATCACTCCATGGAAACAAACATACACTTTTCTTTGGATATATATTTAGGATCAGTATTTTTCTTGATTGCAGTCAGTTAAATAATAGAAACACGCTTCTCCGGTCGGGTCTAATCAGTTACTCATGACTAACGTGGTGGGCTAGTTCCGTGGGTGTACTGATATGATTTGGAAGTGAACTAGAAGTAATATGCGCGTTTTTCCACATGAGCACGACAAGAATTGCATGCTCTGTTCTAAGATGTTTTGCAAAGAGCTTGCGTGTAACAAATTACAATTTGGATAATTTGGATATAGGCACAATTATTCACAAATGATAAACTGTTTCTTTTAGGTAAAGGATCATTGGTTTTAACATTCAATAAAAGAATAAATCTCTGATTACGTTAACAAAACCTGAGCACTACAAAATAATGCAGAAAAATATTAAAATAGTGCAAACAACTCATCGAAAATCGGTACCAACAGCACTCACTTTGATAGAAAAAAGAGGAGAAAAACCAAATTTTAAACAACATAGTAACTTACTGTCCTAAGCCATTCTATTTAGTACAGGTAGTAACTATGTCAGAACCAAATGTGTCTTGCTGCATGCTTTTCCTTTTTCGTTGTCAATGGAACTCACAGTTTTATATCCGTTTTAAGCAAAAGTCCAGTAATATGACAAATAAAATTCTGAATGTATACTAACAACTTTATTATCTAATAAATAATGTAGCTTTGCTATGAAAAAACAAAATTAGTTTCAGACCAACAAACACGAAAGGTAACGAACTTGGATCAATAAGTGTAAGTAGGCACAAGAATACAATACAGTTCATAACTTACTGAATTTTTTTGCCTAATCGCATTAACTATCACCTTCCTCCCTCCTCGGGCCAACACTTTTATCTCCTGAACAAGGCAAGCGTCACGTAATTTATTTGTGGTGATCTGATTAATCATCCTCGCCGCCTCCGAGCAATCCATTTTTAAGATAAACAGTAGCGAGCTCCCTTCCAGAGCAAGCACGACACCCTCTCATGCATGCTTCCAACTCGGCAATGAGTGCACCATCGCATGTGAAGATGTGTCTACAGGAGCTGAAGATTATGTGATCAGCGCCATCTCGTAGTACCATACTTGCGCCTCCATTCTCGGCATATTCAACGAAATCCCCGTCCACATTGAGTTTGAGCCAGCCCGCTGGTGGTGGCTTCCATTGCTCGTTCAGGGGTGTGCTAGCACAACCACTAGCTTGTGCACAATACGACAACAGTCATTCGATCACAGTTAACCTTAATGATTGAGTGTATTTGGTTTTCGGGCTCAGCATCCACAGTTAAAGTGTAGAAGTAATTTTTCCAATAGAGGGAAGCAATTTATTGGCCAAGTAGTGAGTAGTCACATTGTGATAGAGTTGGGAACAAAATCGTGATCCGAGTTGGAAATATTTTCCAACAGTTGTAGTGCACGGGACTAGCAACGGCTTGGTAGATGCTACTAAGATTGTGCATATTCAAAAGCTACATGTGTTAGTTCATGTTTAGAAATTTTCATGAGCACAGAGCATTGGTTAATCCATTGAATTGCTAAAATTTGTTTGTTACATGATAGACCTACGATGTGAATTGGTGTATGAATCATTTATTTGTTTCATCTACCTTTCTTGTGGGCATTTACCTAGCATAAGAGCAACGTACTCATCCTTGTGAGTTCAGCCAGCCGTGACAAGAGGTCGACGGAGTCGGCGTTGGCGTGTGTGTGCTTTGCAACCAGTGCGTCGTCTCGTCCTCCAGCTCTGCCTTGTATGTTCGCTGCCTGCGTGGTCGCCTCATCGGCGTGATGCCTTGTTCTCGTCGCTGGGCGTGGACGAATAAAGCGATGATGGGCACAATGAGAGAGAGAGAGAGAGAGAGAGAGAGAGAGAGAGAGAGAGAGAGGCAGCTAGGAGCGAGGTCGGTCAGGGGTGGGTAGGGGGGAGGCAGGCTCGCTGCGGCTGCTGCCATGTCACCGTTAAGTGATGCAAAGATTGCATAAGGCCGCCGTGAACGAGCCAGAACACCTCACCTGTAAAGATCTTTTCGGCGTGAAACAAACAACTGCATAATCGTGTTTATGCCATCTAAACAAGGAATTACATATGCTTACCTCAGTAGAAAAACCAACTCGCCTTCAATTTTGTTTGATAGAAAGCAGTTAGTTTGAGTATAGCGTCCCTGGGGTACGTCAAATCTGGGCTAAATCATGCGGTCAAAACTAACTCACGCTTTTCTTGGGATATTTACTAGTACCAATATTTTTCTTCATCACGGTTATAATTAACTAATATTAGTTTCTTGAATTACTACTATATGTGAAGGGGGATGTAGCTCAATTGGTAGAGCGCTAATCAATGCGGAATAGAGGCACAGGGTTCGATTCCTCGCATCTCCAATTTCTGTTTTTGTAACGCTGCATGGCTGCTGCTTGGATCTTTAACTGGGCTGGAAAGTTGGAGGCCGCATGGGCTGCTGCCTGGATCTTCAACTGGAGGCTGGGCACATTTAGACAATCAACTGGAGCCCACAAGCTAGGGCGCAGTGTTCTCAACAAAAACAAATGATATGAACAGGGAGCCCACTGGGTAAGAACTAAGAACTCGTAAATAAAGAATTTCTATCATGTTTTTTTTTGATAAAAACTAAAGTGGGTTTTTGTTAAATAGATTTAAAAAAATATTGCTACCACAATACGATGAGACATATATAAAAGATTTAATTAATGGAAATCTTGTTTCATACTAAAATTATGTGCACAAAACCATTACCAGCGCCCATCTACTTTGCAGTAATGGGATGTATCGTCTCCACTATCCAAAAGAAAAGTGTAACGTCAGTCTCAAACTATACTTTATGCATTTGTCTACTCTCGTTGAAAGAATGCTGAGAATTTCTAAGCAAAAGCCTGCTCCTAGTGAAAAATATCGAGTTTGCTCACGATTTGAGTAACCACTTTATCACGACATTGTAGCTCAATCTTCCGACTGAACAATATGAGGATCACTGACAAGTTGCGCGCCCACAGAATGACGGAATGATGCACGTTGCCATTGAATCCGGCTGTCAAGCCAATGTTAGAGCCCTGCATAATTAGATCAGATACTTTATGCATTTGTTTACTCTCATTGAAAGAATGCTGAGAATTAAGCAAAAGACTGATCCTAGTGAAAAATACCAAGTTTGCTCACGATTTGAGTAACCACTTTATCACAACATTGTAGCCCAATCTTCCAACCGAACAATATATATGAGGATCACTGACAAGATGCGCACCAACGGAAGGATGCATCTTGCCATTGAATCCGGCTGTCAAGCCAATGTTAGAGCCTTGCATAAGTAGATCGCACACAGAACTAATTATACTCCCTCCAATCTGAATCAATTGACGCGGCCTCTATACGATGTCCTATTAATTGGTTGAAGACTTGAAGTAGTGTAATGTTTGTACATGAGGATGTAGCTCAAAAGGCAGATCACTTAATCGATGCACATAAGAGTCAGTCGAATCGATACCTCCCATTTCTTTATGGTCAATCTATCTTTGCTTTAATGCTGAAAATAAAAATAAAAGGATAAACATAAAGGAGAAATGGCCAGACTAATACCCTAGTACGGAAAGTTGTCCGTTCAGCTGTCGAAACTAAGGTGCACGTGGAGGCGGTGAGTCTATTCACCGACTGATTTGGTGCTACATCTGTGGCGTTGACTCTGTGTTATATCTCTGAAGTCTGAAGTTGCTTACGGCAGCTCTGTGCCCACTAAATGTGTTGTTCTGACAGACAGGTTAATGTTCCGCCTTCATCGGTGTAATATGAAATGTTCTTATTCTAGTAATATATATGGGACCTTCTCTGACAATTTATGGGCTCGTGTATTCTTCGCTGATTTTGTATGATAGTAGTGTGATTTTGTGTTTTTGGCTCAACTTGGAAATTTTGCAAAGAGTCTCTTTGCCAGGGCGGAGGTGCTGCTCTCTCCGTGTGTCTTCGGGTCTTTCTCACTGTCGCCTTGTCTAATGCACTACTCGTGGGCACTTATATCCATGTTTGATAAACAACCTCAAAAACTTTCAGCTCCAGATTTGACATACACTTATGGTGAACTAAAAAAAAAAAGAAAATCAGATGTGAACACAAAGCTCTAATAAGCTAACACTGCATCTTCAGGGCAGAATTGCCACCACGATGGTGTTTATCACTCCATTCATTGTGACAATGGATGGATATATAGGAGAAAGCTCCGACCTCCGTGATGTCATCGTTTGTACACTAAGCTGATTTTCTGTGATTGATACTAGCATTATGTTCGTGCTCTCCCATGTCTGAACTGGAAGATTTTGCAAAGAGTCTAGTATTCACCATATGTGACAATGTCTGTCCCAGTTAACCATTTTATTTGACAGGAAGGAAATAGTTCGAGTATAATTGTAATCTCAAATTAGTGTAATGCATGTGAACGGAGATGTAGCTCAATTGGTAGAGCACTAATCAGTGCTAATAAAAATTGATGTCTATAGAACTCAAATACGTCTAGATACATCCTTTTTCTCTCACATGCAAGTATTTTCGGATGGAGGGGGTATTATATGCTGACAAATATTGGAGTGGTGCATTGCTGTGCGTTTCAAAGCAGCAAGCAAGGATCCGAGTACCCAAATTCCGTAGCAATTAGCATGAACCTTCGTGGAAGTTTCGTGGGGCCCATTTTCAGTGGCCTTGCGTTACCACCACCACACAGCCCCTCCTACTACGTCACACGCCTATCTCCTCTTTAAAAGCATGAGTACAGGGCTATGCCCACAGGCCAGAGACATTACCACGCCTCGCACAATTGTCGAGAGGCGAGACAAGGGGAAGGTCTCGGACAGCTAGCAAGAGAGCAAGGCGATGTCAATGGTGGACGAGCAGTACGACGCTGGCCCGCCCCAGGCGCCGCACGGGCTGCTGCTGGCGGTCGTGGTGGGGCTGCTGGTTGTGTGGCCGCTTTTCCTGGGTCGCGGCGGCGAGGCGGTCACCGATGCCATCGCCAATGCCATCGCCGAGATGCTCGGCCCCGTGGGCCTGCTCCTCCTCCCGGTGGGGCTCCTCCTCCTCATCCACCTCCTCTCCTCCGACGCCGCGCCCGACGCCCTGCACCACGTCGCGGGATCCCCCATCGGCGTGGCGCTCATGTTGGTCCTCATCCTCGCCTTCCTCTACTACCGGTCGGCGCTCTTCCGCAGCGGCGGAGACGATGACGAGTAGGCGCCTGCCATTAGGTAGAGTCTCATGTCGGGGTGGCTGATTGGTTGTTCTTTTCCATGTGCCTGTTCTCTTCCACCACCGGCCAGCAGGCAGCAGTAAATAACAAAGTGACAACTTTGCGTTTAACGTGTTGCATTCCAATCTTGGTTCTACTGGCATCCATCTCGCGTTCGCGTTCTCAAAGACAGATAAACAAAAAGTTGTAACTGAATTTGACGTTGTCTGTGCCTTTTGGATCAATAGTGAGATGCTGCAACTGCCTCGTGCCGTGTAGTGTACTACTCCAAAAAGCTCATGGTGTTCTGTTGATAGTAGCTGAAAATAAAAACATAACTTAGAATCTCCAAAAGGAAAAGAAGAACATAAAATGGCAATTTGAAGTCAGTTTCACGGGTTATTTAGCTGAAACATCCGTGTACTAACAAGTGACGATAAAATCATCCTAGGCAGCCAGGAACATAGCTTGCTCACTATTTCGTGGTATCTTATGGTTCATCTTTGCAAATAGAAGCGCTTCTCTGTTCTCTGTGTACTGGATCGGGCTCAGTTACTCATGAGTCATGAGTGACATGGTGGCGAAGTTTCGCTGGTGTACCGATGTGATTTGGGAGTGAACTAAAAGCAACATGCGCGCTTTGCTGCGCCCGTTGACATGAGCGCACCATGTACTACTCGCACTGTGCTAAGTTGTTTCGCAAAGAGTTTGCATTTAAGAAATTACGATTTGGATAATTTGGATATAGGCACAATGAAAAAAACTTGACCAACTGGAGAAGAACCCAGTGGCATTATATTTATGAGAGAATGTGAGACCTAAATTCGACCTGAAGAAAGGTCGAACCCAGGTCAGTGGGGCGAAATCACCACGCTCCCACCACTGAGCTATGAGCTCGTCCACAGATATAGGCAAAATGTATTCATCCCCTTGCTTGTATAGAAAATGTAAATTTCACCTCAAATGATAAACTGTTTCTTTTCAGTAAAAGATCGTTGGTTTTAACATTCAAGGAAAGGATGAATCTCTTATTTTCGTAGAACTTCCTAGTTTTGCTTTTACATGTTGTTTACAACATATGAACCATTCGGCGTGTTTAAACTTGAATAATTCGCTTTGTAAACTTTGAAGTTCGTAAACTATATGAGACATGACTTTCAACTACCTGGTGCCCCTACACCCTCTTTGAACAGTAATTTCAAAAAGAATGAAAACAAAATCACAAAAATCTGAAACTTTGGAACATCAAACATGATAAAATCAACGTACTAGCAAAGGTTCAGCCTCAAATAACATTCGTGGAGCCCTCGCCTAAAAAAAACAAAATTAATGTTCAAAGTTTATGTGCACTTTTGAGCTGTAGTTTTTTTTTCCAGGGATCCTCGGTTCTTAGTTGTGTCTGAAATTTTGCACAAACATCAAAAGTATGATCATCTTTGATCCCCCAAAGTTTCATTTTTTATTTGTCTTCATTTCTTTTTTGAATTTACTATTCATCAGGGTGTAAGGGCACCCGAGGAGCTGTCACACCTTTCTCAAACTATATTCGTGATTTGCTTGAACCTTCATACTTATGTTTAGTTTCTATATGTGTGCAGTTTATATGTAGGTGTAATGTGAACTAGAATTGCATAAGTTAGAAAAAACAAATTATACTCCATTATAGTAAGGGAATCGACTAGGTCCGACCAAAAGTTTGTGGAGTAAATATACTCCACTAAGCTTTACTCGACTGGAACCTTCTCTATTTTACAGGGGATCGTCTAGAGTTGGCCTAAACGTTCTACGAAAAAAACTAGTTTGAACATTCATGGAAATTTCCTGGTGCCCACATTCAGTAGCCAACACCCCCACCATTTTTTTTTCCTTCGTGTGATTTCTCCGCTCCACTAGTTACATCATATGTACTTGCGTTAACTGTGGAAGCTAGGCTGGATTATAATTATATTCAGTATATGTACAGTATCAAGATAATAAGATGAAACATCTGTAGGGAATCTCGCTATCTCACCATTTTGTTCAACTGTTGCATAGTGCTGATGCCTGGAGAGGAACATGCCGCCCAGAAACAAACGATGTCAACTTTCCATTGTTTTCATGAAGGAAAAAATCTTGTGTTGAACTGATAATCAACCTGCAGTCTCAAAAAAAAAAAGGTTTGAGGCACAGTTGTTTCTTTGTATTTAATGTACCTTCTCCATATTTCTATTGCTGCAAAAATTCCAATTCTTCAAGACATAGGTCTTATTGTGAGGCCATCTTCCATAAATTGTGAGGGTGAGAAATTGTTGATCTATGCATGTGAACATAAAGAAAAATTTTAAGCCTTGTTAAGAATGTTAACAAATCCATGTTCGCCCGGAATGCCTTTTGCTAAAATACTAGTTTGTTACTACCTTCTCACCATGATAGAGTGCAACAGTTGAGATCTCACCATGTATTAATCATTCCCAATCAAGAGAATTCTTGATCTTGCGACATTGTTTATTCACTATTAGGTTTGTACATATCATTGTCTAGCTTTTTTAGAAAGGGATCTATGTGTGAGGGCTTTATATGCCCGCCGCTCTCTAAAGGCTTGAGCACTCCACCCACTCACCGCAACCATTATAACGCCTCACACAATTGTCGCCAGGTGAGACAGACTGCTAGCAAGAGAGCAAGGAGGTATCAATGACAGATGAGCAGTACTATGGTGGCCCGTGCGGGGCACCACACGGGTTGCTGCTGGCGATGGTGGTGGGGCTGCTGGTTGCGTAGCCGCTTTTCATGGGTGGCGGTGGCGCGCCGGTCACCGATGCCATCTAATAAATAATGTCACTTTGCTATGACAAAACAAAATTTATTTCACATCAAAGAAACACGAAAGGTAATGGAACTTGGATCAATAAGTGTAACGAGGCACAAGAATACAACAAAGCTTTTTTGTTTGGGGGGTGGGGGAGGGACTTCCCTTTACTAACCTAGATCAACAAGTTCCAGTTCACAAATGTTTACAACACCAGTTGGGCCAGCGCCTATCCAGACTGTGGTCTTAATATCAACTCAACCGATTATAACAAGTTCATGACCAATAGAATTTTTATGCCTGGTCGCATTAACTATCACCTTCCTCTCTCCTCTGGCCAAGGCCTTTGTGTCCTGAACAAGGCAACCGTTAGGTGAGATGTATGTGGTGATCTGATTAATCATCCTTACCACCTTTTACCAATCCGTTTCTAAGATAAATGGTAGCGAGCTCCATTCCAGAGCAAGCGTGACACCCTCTCTGCATGCGGCCAACTCAGCCACCAGCGCATCATCGCATGTGAAGAGCTGAAGATTATGTGACCAGCGCTATCTCGTAGCACAAGGCAATTTTTTTGGGCATTATACTTGCGCATCCATTCCAGGCCTATTCAACGAAAGGCCCCGTCCATGGTGAGTTTGAGCCAGCCTGCTGTCAGTGACTCCCATCCCTCATTTAGGGGTGTGCGAGCACGACCACTAGCCCTACCAAGATTGACTAGAGCAACAACATGCATCAACGGGTAACATATGACCATCTTCCCCTCCACTACGTCTACCTAAGGATACTATTGAATGCACAAGAGCGCAGAGATATGTAGCCATTAATTAAGGAATCCGCCTAACACTTCTGTGGGAATAGGGTTCTTCTCGTGCGTCATCTTGTTGCATACAAGCCAAGATCACCATAGTATCATCAACATCACCATGCATGACGTGTCCGACAATGGGTACAACACTGGTGTGCCAAGATCACCATAATATTGTAAGGTAAACCACGATGATTGCGTTATAATATGCGTGCCCCATTGTATGTATGTTTTGACATATATAGAAAAGACATAAATCATCATATTCCTGGATGAAATTTTGAAGGTGTGTATGTTTAACATGCAATATTTTGATTAAGTATTTAGTAATTTTGCAATCCTCTAGCTATCACTTAGGGAGACAAATGCCCTCTAACTGCAAACACTGGTGTTTACTTTTATTGAAGCAATTGTGCACTCATTTGGTTAAGACTCTTTTGCATCATGTGCTTCCTCATATATTTTTTATATGAAATCGATTGCTCAATGGAAAAGTTCCCTTGAACGATCAAGAGCTCCACAATATTGCACAATCTGCAATCATAAATTATTTATGTCTTGGTTTGTCTTTTTGTTTGCTTATACAAAAGCATTTAACTAAATTGATTTGCATTTTTACACTATGCATGTCATTGTCCAATAAGGGTGACCACTATCGAGACAGCTCCCGATGCTCTTCGTCGAGGTACCTCCTCCCTCGTGCTTCTCACTGCCTAGTGGGTTTCATACACTATGATGGTTGTGTGCTCACTCGGTCATTATTCTTATTTGAAAGATCAAGTGAGAAATATTAAGAAACAACTCTAGTAATTTTAAGGAAGAGCAGGGTGTTTTGTTATATGTACTCATCTATTCGTGTGTCATTCTATTAGCTAGTACCAGGTGTTGTTGAGTACATCTTGTGTTCTAATAAATTGATGTGCGAGTTTGCCACCACACATTTTCTTATGGAAGTAACTGTGTCAAAGCAAGATTACTCATTCATTCAGGTTCTCGTAGAATATATAATAGAACATATTCTAGAAAAAGCAAGTGCTCAAGATGGTCGCAGCAACCATAACATGCATAATACATACATCAAAAGATAAATACAAATATTGTCTTTGGATACTAGCAAAGAGCTGAAATTTGGGACAGAGATAAACAAAACATGAAAAGGCAAAATGCAACCGCAGATTTCACATAACTAAAAAGAGCTGAAATCGGCTAGTCATATTAGTAAAAGAACAAAGTTTTTAGTATTATTTCCTGCAAAGAAAAAAGAGATAGAACTTTCAACACCCGAGTGACGCTACACCCTCCATCAACAATAAATTCAAGAAATCTGAAACTTTGGGACATCAAACATTCGATATTTTTGCAAAGTTTCGGCCACAAAAAACATTCGAGGATACCTCACCTAACAATAA